CTGTGCTCCCTGGGAGGTTTGTTTCTTCGGAATAGCCATGTGGAAGGCTATTAATAGCATTAATTCAGGTTTCGAAAATTACATTTGCACACTGGGATTGTGCAAAAGTGTATGTTCTGTTGAATGGCTACAAGTACATTGCTCCTGTGTTTTGCTACCAAACTGCCTAGAATTGCTACCTCATGTTGCTACTCTTATATCTTGGCTAGGGCAATAAAACTATCTGTGGCTGCGGTTACACGGAGCATTAGCCACTCTACAGAGATGGAAGATAGGTGGATTTTCTGGGCGTGATCACACCGCAACATCTGGGAAGCGTAGAGCTCCCGTGGCTTACCCAAGGCTTCCCGCCGAAGATGCGCCATAAAAAACGAGTACCACTGAGGTACTAGTTTCCGGAAACCGCGGGGCAAGGGCGGGCGTCTGATCGTGTTTCCAGTAGTAGGTAGTGGCATCCAGAGCCCGCCCATGTCTCAAGGCGAAAATGGTTTTTTCCCCCAAGTCTCCACGGGATGCGCACAAGCACCCAACGGTGCATGCGCACACTTTGGTTTAACCCCCCCACAACCCTGTTTGCCACGGCAGCGGCACCTCTGTGATCGTGCCGCACCGCTTCTTTGCCACGCCACAGGATTGTGGTATGATCAACACCTCCCCCCGAACCACGGGATGTCGGCGGGGCATATGATCCGCTGGCCACGCGGTAGTTTGCTCCGGGGCAAACAGCCATGCCTCCCCCGGGCAATAACGGCCCATGTGATAAACATCTGTGTCTCCCCCTCTTTATTGTCCTCTGGAGGGACAAAGAGCTTGGCTTGGAACTGTGTATACAACAGGCTTAAAGTTCCTCTGGGATGTAGGTTCAGGTCGTAGATATGTGGGGACATTCCAATGTGTGTACCCTGCCTCAGTTGTCCATTTTGGGTAATAATGTGTTCACTTGATGGTAGGAATGGGCCCTTTGAATTGAGTCAAAAAAGGTATTACCAGCATTTTCTCTTTTTAAAGTTTTTTTTTTCAAGAGAAAGAAAGAAGTAGTATAAGGAAGGAGAAAGACTGGCCCTGGAACCACTAAACTCAAGTAAGGTAAAGTGTACGATTGAGTCCCAATCACCTCATGGCAACCCCATGAAGTTCCACCTCATGGGGTTTTTGAGGCAAGAGATGAGCAGGGGTGTTTTGCCATTGTCTTCCTCTGCATAGCAGCCTTGGATTTCCTTGGTGGTCTCCCATCCAAGTGCCGACCCTGCTTAGCTTCTGAGCTCCAACAAGGTCAGGGTAGTCGGGGCTATTAGGGCTGCTACACTGCTAAAAGTTATGCTTCAATCCTATCTGATCAATGCAGCTTAAGTTGGCAGAATCTGTCTTATCCCACTGATTTTAAGTTCATAATTAACTTGGATTCCAAGTTTTATGCCAGACAAATTATGTGATTAATTTTTGTTTATATTCACTTTGTATAGAGTTATCAGAGATCCTGACTGAGTGTTTCTCCTCCCCCTTTTCCCTTTTAACTAGAATTCCAGTCATATAGTAAAAAATAGATAGTGGGTCCAGTGTCAGATATTGGGTCTGAAGCTTGGTTCTGGGTTTTATTATGGTTGAAGACTTCCGCTACAGAGATATAAATCATCCCCCTGTTAATTCAGCCCTATTAATTACAAATGCCATGGGTTAATTCAGTGACTCAGAACAAACTCATTATTGAAAAATCAGATAGTGGTTGTCTATTTCTTGTGCCCACACAGTGTGCTTGGAACAGTTTCATGGGAACCAGACTGTTTCAGCTCCCTGTGGCCATTTCAAATGTATCTGAGAGCCTGGAAAATCCCTCCTCATAAGGAAGTTCCGATTGTCATTTCAGGAAGAATGACAATGCACCATTGAGCTGCATCTGTTTTGGGGAAGGGTAATTTGTAATGATTAAACTTGAAAATGTAAGTTATGGATCTTTGTGGCATTTTGTTCATTGATCTGTGCAATGTTAAACAACTTCATTCCTGGTATAAGACAATGGGTATGATGATGATTAATTAATCTTGTCCCTCCTGCATAGAAGGGGTGTGCCGGGGTCACACTTGGATGACGAAAAGTGTCTTCTTAGGAATAGTTGTGGGAAGCCGTGAAGCGGTCTTTATTGCTCACGAGAGTGAACGCCAATATATAGTGAACTGTAAGGAGCTAGGAGATGCCACGCTCCTGTCTTCTTTTGCCTCATGACCTTAGCATCTGAACCAGGGTTTGACCACTTCTCATATGCCTTCAGCAATGAAAAGGCAGCCCACTACTGTTACCACCCACAGCAAAGGTACCCTTTCACATATATCGATGTGGATGGAATGAGAAGACTACCTGAAAAGGGCCAAAGATTAGGTTGAGACAAGTTCAGGGTAAGTTCAGGGTATGTGCAAACCCAGTGAGAGAATTCCCACCATTATACCTTGAAACAATGATTGCAAGCCCTGGACAGTCATGACAGAACGTTTTATCTGAATGCTGAGTTTTTGCTTCCCTTCTGGCCATTTCAAAATTAAAGTTGAATTCTCATCACTGTATTTCATTGCACAAAAAAAAAAAAAATCAAAAAGAGGTATGAGCAGTGCAAGATGCAATATACTTTATTTCGTGAGATGCATAATGGAGGTCTCCAAGGGTTTTATCGTCTGCTTCCTGATAAAGAAAAACAAAGAGATTGGTTAGGGGAAATAAGGCACACGGAAAGTTCTTCAAAGAAATAGGAGAAACCGCCGAGCAAACGCTTTCTGAAAAGATGTGGATAATGACAATGTCCATTCCTAGTATCAATACTGAACTCCAACAACCAAGTTCTGAGATGTCCAAGGCAGCTGCAGATGTTGCTCCCACTATGGTGACCCCTTGTTCGGGACCCATTACTCCATCCATTGCATTCATTGTTACATGTCAGGTCAAGCCCAACAAATAGATGACCAACACTATTAACCCATTCATCTCTCCCTTTACCAGCTATTGAACACCATCAGAGACAACAATGCTATTTTTTGTGCAGCTACGTGTTTGTGGCCAGATCTACAAGCAAAATCAACTGTTGGAGCATGGATCATCTTTGATAAATTAAGAGTACATGCTCTAGCTTACTTCTTGTGGCCCTTTCTTACACACCCAGGGAAATGCTGATAGCCACTTTGGGGTCAGAAAGCCATTTTTCTCCAGGCCCGTTTGGCCAGGGATCCTAGAGGTTTTTGTCATCTTCTGGGTGTGGAACAGCGGTCACTGCGGGTGTGGAGGTATTTGTGAATTTCCTGCATTGTGCAGGGGATTGGATTAGATGACCCTGGAGGTCCCTTCCAACTCTATGATTCTATAAGACTTTATTTAAGAAAAAGTACAGGACTGCATTGAAAAGTGAATTCATCACAAGGAACACATTCTTCGTACTGAATTTACCATATAATCTCTGGATCCTTTGCCTATCATCAGCAGAAAGTCTGAAAGTGGCTGGGTTCATATAAGAATAATTAGGGTACATCAAGGCACCACGGACACCTGAATGTGCCAACCCCAAGGAGTGACCAAATTCATGTGCAGCAACAAGGAAGAGGTTGACTTCTAACATATAATCTCTGGATCCTTTGCCTATCATCAGCAGAAAGTCTGAAAGTGGCTGGGTTCATATAAGAATAATTAGGGTACATCAAGGCACCACGGACACCTGAATGTGCCAACCCCAAGGAGTGACCAAATTCATGTGCAGCAACAAGGAAGAGGTTGATTTCTAAAAACACAGAAGAAAAAGAGGTTAGGGAGAAGTTGTGTGTTAAATACTTAATAGGTAGTAGGTACTGTGGTTACTTGGGATTTCATTGCATTCTGTATGTTTGAAATTTGCACTTGTAAGCTACCTTGCATTATTGGGAAAAGGGGGGCATAAATATTTTAATAAATAAATATAAAATAATATAAATGGATTATGATCTCTTGCTGTTCTGTATTGTGAAGAAATCCAGTACTTGGACTGAACTGGTCCCAAGGGCTAATAGTTATCTGTTATATACATATGCATATATTTTGACAATCCCCCCAATCATACATATATAGAAAGATACGACTATACAGACACACTCACATCAGCATCTATATTTATGTTGTGTATAAACAGACACACACATTTTTGTATGGAGAGCCCAGGGAAAGGACCTGAGATGCCTTGACTGCATTGCTATTCTTGGCCAAGGTTATTCTTGGCCACTTCTACTTTAAATGGAAATGAGCAATAAAGAAATAGTAAGGTACGCAGAGGGGCATGTCTTCTTCTTAGGGTTCTTGTCATATTCTCTCAGTAGAGACCAGAGTAGGAGAGTGCACAGGCTCAGGTGGACAGTTGGTCTAGGGACCTGCTAAGGTGTGCTTATATATCTCTTCAAAGATGACTTTACCTTGGTTCTTTTCTGACCACTTCTCACTCTCATCAAAGTGGGCATCTCCTCCTAGGCCACTTCCAGGGAAATAAGCGTGGGCCAAAGTTCCCCCTCTTCCGTCAAAAGGACTATTGTCACCATGGGCTAAAGTTGAAAGAGAATGCAGTCATTGTTAAGGGAAAAAATGTTAGGCTAGAGATGATCAGTATTCTGGAATGTCCAGCATATTCAAATAGTCCTGCATACTCTTTGACATTCTGACTCTCTGTATTGTATTGTGTCTGAAGAGCGTTTTTTTTGGGGGGGGGGTCAATGGTGGTACTGGTGGAAGTGGCAATGTCGCTTCCATATGAAGTGCATAACTTATAATGCTTTTTGCAATTTTATATTAAAAAAGAGTTTGGAGTAGGGATGCTAGGCTCCAGGTGGGACCTGGAGATGTCCTGAAATTACAGCTCATGTCCAGATGACAGAGATCTGTTCCCCTGGAGAAAATGGCTGCTTTGGAGGGTGGAGTCTACAGCATTGTACCCCACGGAAGTCCCTGTCCTCCCCAGGCTCCATACCCCAGTCTCCAAGCGTTTCCCAACCTGGACCTGGCAACCCTAGTTTGGGTTTTTTTTGGCAGCAGCGAGTTAAGGTAAGGGAAGTGGTGTGTGTGTGTAGAGGGGAAGAATGTGAAAATTGAAAGCCTGATCAGGGTGGCATAGTGGTTAGAGTAGTGGGCTCATTTCTGGGAAACCTGGATTCAAATCTTCACCCGGCCATACTGCTTACATGGTGACCTTGGGCAAATCACCCTCTGCCACCCTGATCTCTGTTATAAGATTGCTATGAAAATGGATGGAGAATCGTGAATTCAATTCTACACTCTATACAAGAATGGTGGGATAAATATACGTAGATGGATCAATAGAAGTGTTATGATAAACTGCAGTTCAGAAACTATCATTTGTGTTACATGCTTAGTTCAGAGATCATTCTGCAGTGATTCTGGGTCCCTGATGTTGTAATGCTTCAGAAAAAGGAAATGGTTTCTATGCACGAAAAAATCCATTGCTTCATGAACACACAAAGCTGCCTTCTACTGAATCAGTAGTCCTATCTACTCAGTCCTATCTACTCAGACTGGCAGCGGCTCTCCAAGGTCACAGGCAGAGGTCTTCCATATCATCTACTGACAGATCTTTTTAGGTGGAGATGCCAGGGATTGAACCTTCTGCATGCCAAAAAAGATGTTCTACCCCTGAGCCATGGCCCCTTCCCATTTGGAATGCAGGGATTCTGTTCTGCTAACTGATCATTGTAAAGTCTTACCACGAGATGCAAACAGAATTTCAATATCGGCGGTTCCAGAAACTCTAGTGAACGTCAGTGGGGTCACATCACTCCACACTTTAAATGCCCTCTGTATGATTTGAACCACTTTGGATTGAGGCAGGTCTGGAGTAAAATTATTTATCCTTTGAGAAACAGAGTAAAATAAAAATATTGGAATTCTGAAAATAGAACTGTTGATATTAAAAAGCAGGGGGGTGGGGAATAGAACTAACCTGTAAGTGAGCTTTTTCTTGGTCCATATTTGTGGGCCTGCTTGTTGTTCTTGCACATCTGGGACTCCACACCGAGGTAGTTCCATTAACTTTTTCAGTGCCTCATCTATCTTTCCAGTTACAGTCAAATGGAAGAATTTCTGCAGTCCCTTGATTCGTTCTGCAATTTTCGTTTTGTGAAGGGATGGGAAGAACTTGTCAAGATAAACCTGGATAAAGGGCGAAAAAACACCAAGCCAGTTTGGTGTAGTGGTGAAGTGCGCGGACTCTAATCTGGGAGAACCGGATTTGATTCCCCACTCCTCCACTTGCACC